TATAGGGCATAATGGATTTTAGATGAGGCGGATGAAATTTGTGGATCCCAGTTCAGCTTCGAGTCGAGCACCAGACCAAGGATCTTTACGGTGGGTGAGTACTCGAGTGCTGTGCCAGCCAGTACAATTTTAGGGGGGTTTGCTCTGCCAAGAGCATTGATAAAAACGCGACTCCCCAGCAATAAAACGCGGGTTTTTTGGGCATTTAAGCTAAGGCCATTATCCATGGCCCATTGATGAACAGCGTTGGCATCAGCAGTCATGCGAGACACCAAATCTCTGAACTGGGACGGTGGGGCGTGAGAAATGATTTGCGTATCGTCTGCAAAGATGATGGCATGTGAATGGGAGAGGATGGAGGGGAGGGAGTTTATGTAGATGAGAAAGAGGAGTGGGCCGAGTACACTTCCTTGTGGGACGCCAGATGTGGTGCGGTAGAGATGAGAATGCGAACCATCAGCCTTCCGCACTGCTAGGCTGCGTAGGCTTAAATAGTCCGCAAACCAACGGATTGTCAAGTCATCACAGCCGATCTCACGTAGCCGCACGAGCAGCCGACGGTGTGGGATCGTGTCAAAGGCCTTCGAAAAATCGAAGGACACTAAGACCGAGACCATCCGCTCGTCGATGGCGGATCTGACGCGCTCGGTGATGTCCAGGATGGCTGTTTGGGTGGAATGACTCGGCCGGAATCCGTGCTGATGAGGAGAGAGCAGGTCATGATCAATGAGGTAAGTGATGAGTTGGGTGTGGATGACGCGTTCGAGTATTTTGGATAATTCAGATAAAAGAGCTATGGGGCGAGTGTCATTGGGGGAGGAGGGTGATGAGGTTTTTGATAGGGGAATAATGGAAGCGAGCTTCCATGTATGAGGAAAGGTTGCTGTAGTTATTGAGTTATTGTAATAAGAGAGAGAGAGAGAGAGAGAGAGAGCACGAGGGGCGGAGTAATACGAAGTCGTGAATGCCTCTGCGTATGCCAACGTATTTGTTTACGTATAATAACGCAATTTACTCGGGAGAAATTGTAATAAGTTTTGTTGCTGGAATTTCGTTAGTCGCCTCCAACCCGCGCGTACCACCACGGTCCCCATCTCATGCTTCTCTTTCTCTCTCAAATATACATACGTATGTTGCTCTGCTGCAGCAACGACTACACACACTTACAAACGGATAGATATACGTATACTTATATAGCACACACGCAATGCAACAGTAGGTAGGACAATTTGTTCCTTACGCTTTAAAGGATTAAGAGCTTTTCAATTTGTTTCGCTCGTACATAAATGGATTAGCCGCGAGCACGAGGAGAAATTTTCCTCGCTTGCACCACGCCACGCCGCGCAGAGAGAGAGAGAGAGGCGAAATTTTCGAGACAGAGCAGCAGCAGCATCGCCGCACGCTCGCGACTCGATGTTATTAATTTCGTTTATAATATTGTTCATACAAATGCGACGGTTAATTCAATTTAAATCAACCTCGGCGTCTCGCGCGGGCGCGCGAGTTTGCTGTTCGCTGGTGGCGTCTCAATTTTTGAGAGATCTGTTTGATGATTTAAATTATCAAAATAATATTGTGCATTGTGGCGATCCCAAACTTGTGCATCAACAAATTATTAAACGCCAGTATCGAGTTGCAACGAGACAAGAACTTCCATAAATTTATTTTACAAAGCTCGAACTATATAAAGTCGATAAAAGACCAGTTTCAAGCTGGCGAGACGTTGCCGAAAACGTGTCCGCAACTATCGGCGTATGATCAGCCTGTGTACAAACGGGTGTTGTACGCGAAGATATAATCAGATAACTATATGCAAGTACACGTATAAATGCAACAGTACACGCACGCATTTATATACAGGCTATACACGCACGTAGTCCTAGGTACATTTCTTGAAGTTATGTTTCAGCACGCTCTCGGCATTAGGCTCGGGCCGACTACATTCGAGCCGAGGCGTGGAGAGAGATTAAAACGTCCAACAATGCGCACCGCGACGACGATGAGCGTCTCGTATTATACACTAGTCGCCACGCTCGCTATATCCGAATGTGTATTATGCACGAGTGTGTGTTTCCTTTCTCTCAACTCTGGAGCAATACGCCGTAACGATGCTTGAGACCTGTTTTTATATGTATTACGCATAATATGTACAGCTGTGAGACGATCAATGCAATTGTTTAGATGAGTTCTGACGTAAGGGCATAATCGTGTTCATACAAAGCTGTCGGAGATGATTTTTTGTTTTTTATATTGTATAATGCAACATTTTTCACGATAAAATTTAAGTGTAATTATTCAATGCAGCTGTATTGGTTCACGTCGCGACAAGAGGCGCAAATCTCATGGTTTTTATTTTAAATTTCCTTTGTTGCTTTTAAGTCTTTTTACACGAAATCTTTAACAGCGCAGTATTGTGCAGCTTTCGAGAAAAAAAAAACATACAAAAAGTCGGTTTTAAGGGTTGCGGTTAATTAAAACCCGACTGCCTTGGCTTCGTCAAAACGTATAATATAATAAATATATGATATAAGAGCGTTGAACGTTCAGGTCGTCGAGCTTTAACTTTCGTGCGTCGTGCATCCCATGCTCCTCTCCTTCGTTCACGTCACGCTCTCGGCGCAGTGGTAAATCCCACTAGAGAAAGAGAGAGAGACAAGCGAGACCTCGACGTTTTTTAAGTTTTGACTTTTTAATTTGCTCTTTTCTCCCCTCATGAGAGAAAAATTGATTTGTGCATCGGCATCGCTCATTGTAAAAAAAAATGGTATAAATTAATCGACGAGCGTTTGAATAATGATACAACGATCAGCGCATCGTATGTATAATGGCGCTTTTACTTTGATCTTGAATCTTGAACATTGACTCGGCGCATTGCGAGACTTAATTACGCAAACCGCCAGATTTATAAGTCAATTTTATGGATTATAGCGGGATATTAATTAAAATTACATGCGCTGCTTATGATGCATAATTATCGATTCCACTTGGTTATGAGGCATCAACTTTGATCTATACGATGAAAATTTTCCTATATAATCTTACAGAAAGTTAAAAGTGTTGTAGTCTTGCAGTTTTGCAGGAATTATTTAGTCTCGATCGTTTCGATTCGTCATCAAAAATTAATTAATCAATCGAGTCCGCAAAGACAGGATAAAATCACTTGCGCAGCCTGCATTTCCTCTAACTCGGTCTATCAGTCTCCTTCGGGCGATTATGCATTTATAAAATTTTCAATTTAACTAAAATCTGCGCGCCGAACAGATTGAATCCATCGTCGCTGCGTATCTATAACACATCGCGCATCGCGCTTTCGAAAATAAAAGCCTGTATTCCTCTCCTCCTGCTCCGATGCTGCAGCATCGATAACTCGCGCAGTTCGATTCTCTTTTTTCCCATGTATCTCACTTTCGGAATGGCAAAAACATCACGTAGGTATATCCATGGCGCGCGTGCGAATAGAATCCTCTCGCGCTGTCGTTGTTGTTTCCCCCTATCCATGACTGCAGCAGCTTGATATGTACAGATGTGCGTGCACGTGTATGTGTGTGTAAGTAAAGGCGCGCGTGAGGTAAGGAGTACACGGTGTATAGGGAGCGGGAGAGTGAAGCAGTTGGCAGTTGAAGGGAACAGGAGGGAGGGAGGGCGGACAACCTCGTAAATCCGATTTGAATTTGTAATGCCGCGCGCGCGACGCTTGTGTTTTGTTGTACATTCCTACGGTATACTATAGTCGCTGCGCGGGGGTAAGCTCACGGACTCGCGCACACACGTTCGTCGCATAAAGCACAATTTCTCGGCCGTGTGACTGTGATAGTGTAGCCATGTATACAGTACGCGATGCATCACATTCAAACTGTAGCGAGTGCATGCGAAAGGGCAAAGCTTGAAATATACTGTATAAGCTCTCGAAGAAAAGGAGAAAGTATTAGCTCGGCCCAGATGAGTGAGTAGGATAAAGTCGAGAGCAGAAAGAAAAGCTAAGGAGTCTCGCTCTAGTGTTTGTGTAGGCGCGCACAGGCTGGAACAGGCGATGCGTAAGCGACTTGATTTGATCAACGCGTGTGTCGAGGGGCTCTGTGCGAAGAAAAGAGAGGACGACACGATAAAGAGGAGACGCGAGTACATTTCGCGAGCTAATGGTGTTGTCGTTAAGGTAGTATAGTATAGCATTCCCCCTGAGCAGCAGCGGCAGCAGGGAAATCGTCGTCAGCTCGACACTCTGGCAGCTTCTCTAACTCCTGAAGTTTTTGGGTTTAAAGACTCCGCGTCGAAGATAACTCCCCAGCGACTGGAAGCCATGAGGTGTATACCTGTGCTGCACCAGAACTCGCGAGTGCATTCGCAAGTTTTTAAGTGCAGGCACAAAATGTATCAGGTGTAAACGCGAGGACGAGCGAGAACAAGTGTATTAATTCGCATTGTTGAAATTAAGCACTTTTGTAAGTCTCCGAATCGGGAGTCTCTTTTTTGAAGCAGAATTTTTTTGAGCGCGTTGGATCTGGCCAGTTCACCCGTGAAACTCGAACGTTTACGATCGATAATCGTTTGTGTAACACGAGAGCCTCAAAGTAGCGTGAGAGTATTTTATACATACATTTTTCAAAAAACTATAAGTGTTTTTGTTATTGAAATTTTGTTGAAGTTTTACTTGTCACAGCTGTTTTTCACACTGCTGCTTATTGATTTGAAAAACGAACTATATTATTGTATTTCAATGTAAGGATTAATATTCCAGAATCTGTTTTGTATTGTAACAAGATTAATCGTAATCAAGTGTCAAATTTGATTGAGCTTTTTGATTTCATCAATAGATTGAGTATGGTGAATTCGCAAGTGGCAAAATTTTTTTCGCGGAGTATATTATTAGGGTCATGCATACCGGATGTACAATTATACTGATATGTTTTGTTCTGAAATGCAGACGTTTAGCGTTTGATAGTAATTAAAATTATCAATTAACGGACAAAATATCTAATTAAATAAAGTTATATCCAACATACCAATCATTTCCTGTCTTTGACATATTTTGTCTCTTTCTGCCAGTTTGATGAGGTTTTGGTTCTGCTACCATGTTAACATCTGTAATAAAAAGCGCCTCGTTAAAAATGCATAATCAAAAATATTTAAGATAACACTCATGAATAATGCTCTATTTCGCGCGAATGTAGTCTCAGATGTAAAAGGTAAGGAACCACAGAAGGGGCATGAATGCTCGAAAAACCTTTCCAACACTGTACTTCTTTAATATTTTTTTTTCTTCGTCGCTTAATTTATCTCTGAAAAAGTTCGGCGAGCAAAGAAAAGTTTTTCAAACGACCAAAGCTATCATCGAGGCTAGCTAAATATCCTTTAGCTTATTCTCTATTTTTGCTTATCCAGGAACTTCCCCTCTTGACGCCCTGCATTTCTTCGGCCAGCCAATCCGTAATGTAAGTCCTTTCGCTTTCGCACGCTTTTCTCTGTGTATACACACACTGATTATCGCGCGTTCGCGCCTTTGTACTTGATATCTCCTTTCGTCAGGCTTTCTATACACTTACGTTCACATACGACCATAATTCATCAAGTCCCTCTCGCGTTTGATGTGATGAGCAGTTTTCTTTCAAAGCCAAAGCAAATAAGTCCCCCCCGTTCCCCGAAGAATACCAGCAGAGTTTTAATGTTTTTATCTTTATCGTCGCACGATTACGCGGGAAAGCGTGAAAATAGCCATTTTCTAAAAATTGAGAAAAGTTTCGAATGCGCGGAGATTTTTCTTCACAAATCTCTGAAACTTTGTTTGGACTTTATATCATCACATATACCAGCTCGGCTGCTCGCGCGCACCCGGACAGTGTGTATAAGAAAAGAAAATTCGAGCTTGTTCGCTCCCTGCTGCTGCTTTTCCAGGGCGACAAATTCTCCGATTATGTATATAGATATAAGCACGACCGAGGGTAGGATGAAATTTGCATACCTACGTTAATGGTCCACTGAGAATTACGAAAGCATGACCGAGCATTCAAACTTATCTGTTTTATAATCATAAGTCTTATCACAGCTTTATATACTAACGCCTTTTTCCTCTACTTATATATACACACTCGTATATAGCTTCCGAAGACTTAATTCGGATAATCTCTTCGCGGGCAACGGGTATTTTGATTTTACTCGAGAACTTGGTCCGTCGTATATACGTATATACGTCACAGAGACAGAAGTTCCAAAAACTTTATTTTTGTGGCTTCGAAGACTGTATAATTATATGCTTCGAATGCTTGCTAATTAATTATGCCTCAAGTGTTATTGCATATTTTCACTGGGTGACGTCGAGCCACACAAGAATTATTAAGAATGGTTGTATTTCTAGCAAGCGAGCTGCAAGACATTCGATCCGTCAGTCCAACTTCGAGTAACTTGAAAAGTATTGAGAATTAATAATTCAATGGTTTTCTTACTCTACAAGAAAAAACACTTCCAATACATTGGCAGAGAGGTTCTATCTGAAACAATGATTATTCTTATTTCTATATATAAAAATCCTTGACAAAAGTTTACAAAAATATTTTTCACTGTAAGGTTTGTATCCAAAAAATATCAATCGTCTTTTTCTGCTATACGAGGGTTACTTGGATTACTACGGAAATCGACATTTTGTATAGCTTGAGAAAAATGCCATGTTAGAGACTTATTGATAAATCAATTAATATGAAATAATTTGATAACGTACGTTTTTTAAGCAGAGAAATTCGGTATTTTTTGTGATAATTATTTACGCGTTGTATCAAGACTAGCAAACGATTTAAATTAAAAAATAAGTTTATGAATAATTGTTGCTTCTACGCCAAGATTTTCGAATGATATATCTATAGCGATAAAGTACTTAAGAAATGTTTCATAATAACAAAATAATTGTAATGTTACAACATAGTTGAATCATTGACAGTTAGAGATATTTTATTGTTCTTCACTAAAATAAAGAACATTAATTTGAATATTTTTTCAAAAGTAGTGTTTAATTAAACTAGAAAGTTCTGTTACAAATATGTACTGTATTTATAAGAGAATTAAAGTTTCCTTTTTCTCCAAATAATTTCTTACGAATGTCTCATTCACAGGGTTTGCTCCGATCATGTACTGCATTTATGTTTTTTGAGATTACTCTTGATTTCAGATGATTTGTGGCAAATCTCACATTCAAATGGTTTCGTATGATCGTGTACTGCATTGATGTGAGATTTAAGGTGCTGTTTCAGTCCAAATGATTTGTGACGAATTTCACACTCGAAGGGTTTGTTAGGATCGTGAACTGAATTTAAGTGTCTCTGGAGGTCACTCTTGAATCCAAACGATTGGCCTCAAATCTCGCTTTTGAAGGGTTTGATACGATCGTGAACTGTCTTTATGTGTTTAATGACGTATCTTTTTTCTCCAAACGATTTATGACAAATCTCACATTCGAAAGGTTTGTTGCGGTTGTGTACTGTATTTATGTGAGTATTGAGGTGACTCTTGTATCCAAATGATTTGTGACAAATATCACATTCAAAGGGTTTGCTCTGATTATGTACTGTATTGGTGTGAATTTTAAGGTTAACCATGCGATGAAATGATTTGTGACAAATGTCACATTCGAAGCGTTTCTTATCATTTTGTACTGTACTCATGTGAGTTTTGAGGCTAGTTTTGTGTATAAATGACTTGTGACAAATCTCACATTCATAAGATAATTTGTTCAGAGTATTTTTTCTGCATATTAACTTCTGCATTTTAACTTCCTCAGACTTTGAAATCATTAGAACTTTTTCATCCAAGTAATTTTTCTTAATTTGGTTTTCTACTTTCACAATAGTTGAATGGCTTTGATACTCAGTTTTGCAGATGGTTGTAGATAAAGATTCAGTTCGGGTTTAACATCGTTGCACTCAAATTCTATCAAGAGTTTTTCATCTAACTTTTTGGATTACGCATAAACCTCACTTTGATTTGCCTAAAATTGAGATGTTGTTATAGTTTTTGATAGTGGAAAAACAAGATTTAATTCAAATTATTGAGCTCACTTATGTTTCGTAAAACTTAAAAGTTGCAAAGTTTTTGTTTTCACGAGAGTTCACCAAATCGAAATTTTTACCGTTGCTTGTATCGTTTGGCTCTTCCTTCACCCTGAAAAATAGTTTAGTTTGATTTTGATGTGGATTTTCATTAAATATAATGACATGCACAAAAAAATTACTAAATACCTAACTGTGTCCCCAGTGCTTTCCATCACTCGCTTGATTTTATATGAAATTTCACGATATGCACTGAGAAAATATTGGAGGTTATGTGCTTCGAGTAGCCAACACTGTAACTTGAATTCATCAGTTTTTAAACACTGTCTCTGGAGTTCAGCTCTTGACTGCGACTTTACTTATTGCTCGTATATTAAAAAGGTTTATTCACAATTTTGATAGCTTTTTTGGTGGCACTTTTCCACTGTTGAATTGCTATAGCAGCAATTTACGGCGATGTACATTAGGCGCTAACTTGGTCTTAAAATCACACCGAAATTGCAATGAAAATGTCATTCATCCAGGCGCACAATTTGCTAACGCATACGTACGATTTAAGAGGAGAAACATTCACACAACAAAGAAATATATCTCGAAACCCATACCAATACAATACATAATGGTAAGTGATATGCCACGTTGATACATTTACAAAGTAAATTTTTGCATTTACTCTTAAAAAAGAGATGAATTGATTGTGCTTTTGAAATAGACTTGTTAGATTTGGGCAGTAAAAAAATCACAATATCTGTATATATTTAGACATTAGTTGAGAATTCAAACTAGTTTACAAAAATGTTACCAAATTGTCTTACGATGCCTGCTTTAAAAACTCGTTTTCTATGGAGAAAGCAATTATAAAAAGTCAAAATAGGGCAAAAACGCAGTATTCCTAATCATTAGTAAAAAAAACTTGCAAACTCTTAGTCCACGTTCGTGATCGGTATACGATCCGATGTAAATCCCTTCTCCGCTGCCCCCTGAAAGCTCCTCGACCCTACAATGCCCACACACAGACGCACACATGCATACACCATATAGCTCTAACAAGAGACAAATAAGACAGCATCGAATTATGCGCGTACTATAAACGTGTCCTTACATGCAGCGCACGAAAAAGCTTTAGCCCGGAACGCGCATACTCGTACATCCGCACGAAGCCGCATATCGTCCTTGTCCTCGTCGTTGGTGTATCTCAACGAGATTTGCTATGTACACCAAAGAGAAAGAGAGAGAGAGAGAGAGAGAGAGAGAGAGATACCGCACGACTTTCGCAAGTCGACCTAAACGCTAAATCTTCGGCTGCGTGTTGCGCCTGTGCCACGCGCGCTGCACATACCAAATTTATTTTAGCCTATACATGTATACACACACCCACTCGCGTAGCCCAACTGTGCTCTGTGTACCGAGACGTTGACGTACGTTAGCCTAGACGAGATTTTACGGACAAAAGATTTTTCACCTCTGCAAACTCGGGAGGTACATATTTGAGTAGGATCCCCGGCCGTGCTCGTTATACGAACTCTTTACGAGCGATAACGTGGATATTTATTTTGTTGGGGTGCAGCTGCACATCGTAACCTCTTGATTGACTGGACTGGCGCGTATTTTTCACATACCGAATTAGAGCCGAGTTGACGCGCATTTTCGACGTTCGCGATACATCACTGCGCGAGTCATGACCGCAGTGCACGTGTTTCGACTGAAACAAAAAAATACAACGAAACTTTTTCCGTCGAGTCATCGAATCCATTTCAATTCGTCATGATTTAATTAGCAAAAGCTTCGCGTATACTTTCTTCGCTTCTCTGCGCCTCTAATTTGTATGAGTTCCCTCTCGGTTGGGTATAGGTATAGCCGCGACGTGCGCAGAACCCCTAGTGCTTTTTAAACACTTGCGAAACGTTCATTACCTACAGCGAGGTAGGAGAGAAAAAAATGCTAGTCAACTCCTAAGACACTTCTCAGAAACGCGGGGGAAAGGTTGTATTTCGTCAGTTTCTAAGCCCGACGTAGAGTCTTGTGCTTAACGTAAAGAATGTACTCGGCACACAGCAGCAAAACTACGTTTCGTTTAACGGCTTCAAAAGTCTATACTAGTTGGCTTTTTCGGTTAAAATTTTCTCTAGCTCTATACAAAAAAAGTTACACGAGTTCTGGTCAAGATGGAAGGGATTTAAAACAACGCTAGTACGTGTTACACCGAGAGCAAGCTGAATTTTCGAAAATTCTCTGCTCTCATGTATTTTATCGGGAAATATTTTCAAAAAATTAAGAATAGCAAACAAGTGCGCACGCATGTTAATTCACGCATCTCGCTCGCTGGCTTGCATAGGTATTTTCCTGTGAAGTGCGCGCAAAATGAGCCATATATCGCGTCTTTTAGAGCTTTAGTTTTATTTCGAGTGGCCGGCTGCGCTGTAACGCGGAATTTCGTACGCATGATACGGCAAGCTTGTATAGAGCACGTGATGAGTTAATCGTTAATTTCAGTAAAAGCCGGAGCCGCACCGCCATAGATTTATA